ATCCAGGGCTCCCGGGCGCGCGCTCTCCCCGCAGAAGCATGGCTTCGCAGACGAACCTCCTCACCCCACATCGGCGGCCCAGCAAGGCCGCGATTTTTCTAGAACGAAGGAGGCGGGGTCAGACCGAGTGAATCATTCTCCGGAGAGGGCAGTCGAACTGTCTCGTGCCTCTCCCCAGCCTTCGCTGCGCGTCGCGCCGACGAAATGAGGAGAAGGTTCTGGAAGGTGGCGCGGAACGTATTTAATCGAGCAGCCGAGACGAAAGAGCAGGAGAAGACGGAAAGTTAGCGCCGGAGCGCGTAGGGATTCCGCCGTGGAGTCGGCGAAGGTTCTGCCCGTAGTGACAGAACAGGAGGAGACGGAAGTGAGCGCCAGAGTGCGTAGAGATTCCGCCGTGTAGTCGGCGAAGTTTTGGTCCGTAGGGACGGCTCGAGCTACAGGCAAGAGCGTGGGTTTACCGCTATCGAGCGAAGACGCGGGCAACAGCTGCGTGTGTGAAGCCGACGGATTTCCGGCGAAGAAGCTTGAAGCTTGGAGAGTGGCCATTTGAGGACGCGAGGTTTCCTGGAAGAGAAACTTCGAGAGCTACGGAACGACAACAACGCTGGACTTTGAGTGAGTGATTCTCGGAAGAGTATCATTCAGACTTTTGTTCCAAGGACTTTGGACTGAATAGGTTTTCTATCGCTTTAGTCCTTAAGTGTCTTGGTTGTTCAATGCATGCGACTGCATTGTAGTGCGTATTGTTGTCCGTGTCCGTGGTTTTAAGTGTGGCTGATTGTATTGTGTAGTACGTTGATTGATTGGTTTGATTGGTGACATATTGTATGTAACTAGTGTGGAGTGTGCATTTTTGTGTATTATTTTCGATCTGCCATTATTGAGAATATAATTTGTTTGTTTATCAACTCTCGGCTCTGTCTTGTTCTTTGGGCCACAGCCGGCGTCCGCTGGCGCACCAATAAGGACCACTTCTAAATTGTCCACGCTTTCGTGGTGCGGTTCGGGGGGCCGACACTCCGGCTCTTGGAATTAGCCCGGCGATCGCCTCCCTAATTAACGGGACAGGTGTGACAGTTGCAGGTAAGCAAGTGTGCCTATCATTGTTTTTCTTCTCACTTCTACAGTTCAGAATCCCTTCATCTTTGGCCTCATGATTGTACAGATGCACAAGCACGAGCAGCGATGCAAACTTCTTTGCAGTGCCAACCCCCCGAGCCGCAAAGATTAGCACCTTCCATCGCTCACTAGCATGCCGGCAACAGCAGATGCCGCACCAACTGTGCCTAGTTTGGTGTAAATGAACAGCGTCCACTTTTATGCACTACAAACGCTGCTACCCTGTAAACACAAGAGGCATTTGGCTATGCGCACATACTTTTTAGCAATGTTTCAGGATGCCTCCACAGTGAGATTTCTTCATCGTGGCACATTTTGCATTCAGGTCACTAGATGAAACCTCCAATGCAAGGCACCTGGGACTTTCGCCTTAACTATAGACACGTCGCATAAATACCAGGAACACAGTAAAAAGCCCCACCCAAAAGTGCTCAAGTAACCATGGGCCGAGCATCTTTTGTACATAAAAACAAATAAGAAAGAATATTCAAGGCAGCACTCATGCGAGTTTCAAAGTATGATCGTGAAATTGACATTTCATTTCGATGTGAATAGCTTGTGTGATTCAGGAAGTAAGATTTTCCGGCCAATCCCACATGACTGCTCATGCAGAATAATGGCTCTAGGCTGCTTTCAGTATACAGTTAAACCTGCTTATAACAAACCTCTATATAACGAATTCCTCGATATAACGAAGTTTTTCTATTCCCCGTCGTTGCTCCATAGAAGCACATGTATTTGCGACCTCTATGTAACAAACTGACAGTGGGAGACAACCTTGATATAAAGGATTTTCCCCACGAACAATCTAGAAATTTTACTCCGCATTTCGGCACAAGCATGCATGTCCCGCGACTTCCCCGCTGCTGACGAAGTGCAAAGCGGTGGCGGCGCGCACGGCGCACCAGGCGAGAGCGATCGCTCCTTATTGGGGGCGGGTAGGTGAGCGCGAGGCGGGCCTGCACTCCACGAGCCGGCGTGCGCAAGTGTGTGCTCTCCCCCAAACCAAAATAAAAAAAGAAAACTTCTTTTGCGCGTCGGCAGTGCCATACTTTCAATCAGCGTCACATATGCGGGGCCATGCTGCACATGGAGGGCGCTTTACCGAATAGTTTTCTGCCATGTCTGTGTCGTTCCTCGTTTTTGAAGCCGTGCGCACGTGCATAGTTTCACTGCACGTGCATGGTGCGGCCCCTGATGACATTCAGCTTTGCTTCTTTTTATTATTGCAATAGCAATGATATGGACAGTCTCGGCTGGTTTTTTGCTGGCGCCACTGCCATTCAGATATACCGTATTTACTCGCATAATCCTCGCACTTTTTTGGGCGGAAAACCGATGCAAAATTGGGGGGTGCGAGAATTACACGGAGAAAACTTTCCACGAAAACGTACAGAGCGGGAAAAAAAAAATGAAGTGGCCGCAAATCGGGATTCTGACACCAGCAACTAACAGCAAGCTTTGAGACGTACTAATTAAAATTTACCTTAACAATAAAAGCACACGTTCAACACAAGGCAAGATTTATTTGAGACACAAAAAGTGCACGCAAATAGTCGAGAATTAGAATACCACACGCAAAGCTTGTGGGCATTGCGGCTGTGGCAGTAGCGTTCGTTGCTCAACAGGAGCCCTCAAAAGGTAAGCGTAGGACGTCAGTATTGGGCTGATAACTATTTAACAGAATCGTCTGCAGTTTCCTGAAAAAATAAAGTTTGCCATCAATCGCAGTTTTAGGCACACGGCGGGCCCAGCGCGTCTTGGTGGCTTTCAGCTGCCGTCACCAGTACCGAACACAAAACTCGTATGCTCCGAAAGGCCTACCGGCGGCCCTGTTGTTGATGCTTACATCATGATCTATCACTTTTAACCTGAAAGCAGCCTAGTAGCTTCAGTATCGCCCCATACATAAGGTGACAAGATTACCGACACAACATACAAAACACGCCGCAACGCACATTAGCCACTTTGGCTTGGCTTGGATTAGATTGGATATCCGTGCAATAATAGTACGCTTGATGCTTAAGAGACGGCGCCAAATGGCACGCGCTATCATCATCAGTAGTTGGAACGAGCAGACGACCTTTTTGTGGTAGTTTTTGGGGGTGCGATAATTACTCGAGGAAAAAAAGAAATCGTATTTTTGTTGGGCGATGTGGGGGGCGCGAGAATTATGCGAGTGCGAGGATTACGCGAGTAAATATAGTATATAAACTCAAAAAAAAAAAGCAGCCCGCACATGGCGCCCAGTTCGTCACGATGCACCGACGCGTGCTTATCTCCCACTTGTACTTTGCGCCGTGAATCGAGGGGGAGGGGGGTTAGATGCTTGTGTGTGCGCGCTTATTCTTCAATGAAGACAATCGCATGCCTTTGACTTTGACTGGAACAATTGCGTTTAGTTGACGGGCGCACAAAGATCTCTTCCCTCACAGGACAGGCGCCGTTTGCGAAAAGAGTGCGCTTTTCAAACACAGCAAAATAACAACTGGGGCACAATGTTGGTTCGCACTCATATCTGTACCTGCGATTACGTTTAGTGCCTCGTTTTTGTTTAAACAGCGTGTTAAGTGTCGAGCGGTAAACGTTTTTAGTTCACTCTCGTCCTGTGTATGTTGTTTTCGTGCGTCATTTGTGCGTGAGCAGCGCGCTGCCCATTTCCATCTGCTTGCGATTCTCAGCGTCAATTCCAAGTTGCTGCTGTCGCATTACATCGCCCTTGCGGCAAAACTGTGACTTTTTTTAGGGGATGTCAGATTAGGAGCTGATGGAAACTCTCCGAGACCACGGTGACAATGGATATTCGGAGGCCGACTCGTCATGCGTTTCCATCTTGCGCCGCAAGTTCGCAGGCTGGTAGCTTTTGCGATTAGCCGATTAGTTCTGGCAACAACACGACCGCGCGTTGAATGGAATGCAATGAACGCGATATCAAAAAATTATAATGTTATAAGAAGTAAAGCTGGCAGCCAACTCTTTTGTATCCTGTATCGCAGAACTCCTACAAAACGCTGGTGTGTGCAAATACGGCCGCTCTAGGGAGAAGTGCTTTTTTCAAGTTGCTCTTTTCACGTTTTCAGTGCCCTTCGCGATGAATCCACACTGATACTCACTGAGATAGCAAGCGTGCCAGCGATCGCGACCGCCTTTAAAATCCAAGTTTATTATTACTACTCGAGCGATTCCCCTCCCCCCAACCCGCGTTGTTTTATGCTTGTTCAAGAAGGGTAGTTTACTTTCCGTTTGAACATTCGACGGCAGTTTAACATGCGAGATATGTTTTCTTATGCACTTTCCAGGCGATAGGAATGGGCCGACTCATTTGATCTCAGCTTCAACAGCGCTCGCGCGTTTTTACCCACTCGCGAAAGTTAGGATGCGCGGGGGGGTGTTATCAATTTGGACTCGTTACGGAACATGGCGGCGACAGCGAAAACCCGCCGAGAGCATCCATATAATTGCTATCAAAATAATAACGCAGTTTTTTACTGTAAAATGAATGTTTTGGGTTAGCTCTGCCTTCAGTCTCCTTTTTGTTTAATTTGCGCGTTTATTTTCTGAATTTTCGCACCGAACCTGCATATAACAAAACCCTCTTTATAACGAATTTTTTGGGGAATTTATCAATTTTGTTATATCCAGGTTTAACTGTATATGTATAGATGGCCCAACAATGAATTCTTTTTTCACTCGTCTATAATATTTTATATGGAAACAACAAACTGGTATTTTTCTGCGTGCCTTAGTAATAGAGCGAAAGTGCTTGTGTTTCACATGAAAACCGACTAGTACAACCATCTAGAAGTGTTAAAGCACAGGTCCACCATGGTTCTGTAGGCGGAACCATGGTGCACATTAAATCGCACTTGCACATTTCTTACCCGTGGTGCCAAGGGTGATGTCGACCCAAGTGTCCCATGCATTGAACTGGTCCAGCTCAGCCGGAAGGTAGTGCACCACCAGTTCCTCTCCCTGCCAATCAAAAAGAAGCAGTGATTCTGAATACACCGGCAGAAATCAAGCAAGAAAGAACGACACACGGCTGCCTTATTGACAGCCATGTCACCTTACTATAAGACGTCCCTGAATTGAACATGCACAAACTACTACACCGAATTGAAGGTCAAATCAAGTTTTTATGATGAAAAAGCAACCATGGCTATGTTGTGCAAGCGATCCACTCATTTGCAATCTCTTCGGGGCTTCTTCATAAAGCAGTGCAACAGACAAAAGCTGAAAAGATCATCCTAAACCTCTGGAAGAATAAAGTTCATAAAATGATACATGCTGAACAATTAAGCAATGATACAGAGGCATAAAACAAACACAATGCAGTCACAGTAGTAAACATTTTCTCATCACAAAATATTGCAAATAGAAATATAGTGAAACACAGGAAATGCCTAATGAAAGCATACAGGTGATATCTAATTTTTCAGCCCGCCAGAGGCTCATGAAGTGGTTTGACAAAATTTAAAAAGGTTCACAACGAACTTTCTTAGCACAAGAATTGCAGTAAGGACAGAAATACACAACATACAAGGTGCACTTGATGCAATTTATGCACTGACAAGTTTGTAGCGAGAATACCAACAAGCCCGTACCAACTCCATACTCAACATATTGATACGGTATGAGCCGAGCCATGTTTTGGGGACAAAGGTAGAGGAAGAAGAAGTTACTTGGTTCGGCCTATGTTGGCCATCGTAGTCGACCGTCGCCTGATCTCTCCTGTAAATAAACATAGTTAAATTCAATTTAACTGTAACAGTTTTATGGTGGAGGTGCGGAGTACCTAACCAAGCAACACGGTTCTGCAACAACCTGAGCTACGTCGAAGCCGCCGCATTGCTGGGCTACCCCCGTTACCGCCGGTGGTCGAGATGTTTCACAGAGAAGACGGAGCCCTGAACCCCGCA